TTTAGTGGTAGTATGTTCTTAACTCTTGAAATATTCTCAACATTTACATTGAATATTTTAAATTTTATTAACAAGCATAAACAAAAAACTAACAGCAACAACAAAAAAAGACAGTATTATTGAGATACTTACATAATTATCTCTGAGATCAGGATGATTATGATCAACACCTAACAATATATCAAAAAATAAATTTTCATCTTGTTTTTTTTTACTTTTCTTTTTAAAAAAAAAAAAATTATTTTTCTACACAAATAAAACAGAAATAACTAACTAATATTATACCATCATCTAAGACGCTTACAACAACTCCTCTTCCTGTAATACCCTGCTCCCATACAGGCCTTACATTAATATCAACCCCAGATGGACCAGTAGATTGACCATTATTAAGCTGAAAAAAAATTCAAGCTAAAATTTGAAGTAAAAAATAAATTAAAAAATTATTATAATCTTCAAAAGATTTTCACATAAACATGATCAACTAAATAACATTTATATTCATTTTTCTAAATACAAAACTTGGTTTATATATATATATATATATATATATACATATATCAGGGTGTAAACTAGCACTGTGGCGCCCCGTCAAACGCAGTTTTCCCAAATGCTCATAAAATTAAAATTCCTAATTTAAAGATCAAAAAATCCCATTCTCCAAATAAAGTTTCCAAATTAAAGTTTAACAATAATTCTAAAAATAATTATTATTCAAAAATAATAGAAAAATAACATAAAAAAATCCTAATTCATTAATTGCGTAAAACATGAAATCAAATCGCTATTATTGGTAAAAAAACGCAATTGCATAACTGCGAAAATAGGTTTCTTGGGAAAAACATCATGAGAATTGGGATTTTTGGAGCGATTTTTGGGATTTTTGTGGCATCTTGCAATAAAGTTTGAAAATAGTTTTTTGCAATTCATTCCAACAACAGCAAATATTGTATAAAAAAGTTAGCAAGAAATAAATTACTAATCTAAAAGATCCAAAATAATAATAAAATTGCTTGGTTTAACACCCGAAAATGCTATTTCTTTAAAAGTTTCGCCCTTTTTGGCTAAAAAGTTAAATAACTTATTAAGTCTTACCGTAAACTCAACTTTAAGTAGTACATGTATTTCGTCAACAAAAACATTGAGAAGGTTATGTCAGACACCTTTTGATCAATTACGGTTATTACGGAAAGTCTTTTAGTTATTGTTTTTCTTTTTTTGTTTGGTATTTTATATCAACTAAATTTGCTAAAGTTTTTTACTTTTTTACTGGTATTCTTTGATGACAAGCGTGCAATTGCTTCCTAATAATATTACTCTATAATTAAACGACATTTGTTGTTATTTTTTGCTGAGACTTTGTGATTATAACTTTATTTCGTTATGCGATTTATGTATAATATAAATTATTATTAAATATAAAATTGAACTCGCAATAAATGTGAAATATGAAATTTATGAGTTCATGTTTACTATTTTTAAAACCTTATCTATTTTCAAAAAATTTCTTTTGATGACACAATTTATTACATATTGATGTAAGGGTTCGTCCGTAAAGTACGTCGAGCAGAATTTAAACAATAATTAGAAGTAGAAGATCATTGGCTCATTGGAGATCGCTATTTTACTATATTACATTGAAAAAGAAATATATATTAAAAATAATACTCTTGAAATGTAAGCGGTGAAAATATATAAAGATTAAAAATAAATCAAACTAATTATTCTCAATAATAATTAATATACACTGATTATTTTATAATTAAAAAAATATATCATTCCTAATATATGTTCAGAAACCGGTTCTTAGTTTGCCGTGTCGTTGTGGAACAACAGCTAATTTTGTGTTGATTTTATATTCATCTTTAATGATACAGATGGTATTTTATTTTATTTTTGGCGCTGATCAATCAATGTATGCAGCGCTGAAGTAGAGTTAAAAAAAAAAGAACACCAAAAAAGGACCCCATGCTTTCCCACAGCACATTTTAATCTCAGGGGAGGGGGGGGAATTCTAATGTTATGAATTAGTTTATTTAGACTGACTGCACTTACTAAATACCATTGCTCTTTAAATTTTGGATCTGTGGGTATTCCATCTTTTCTACGACGATCAAGAAGATGTTGCTGTTCAGCCCATAATACCTGATTTAATAAACTAACACAAATAACAATAATAAAGCAAAAAGTGTATAGCACTAATATTTACAAATACTTACAAACATTACTTTAAATACATATGTAACCATTGAAGCTTACATGATTCTCTTCTAGTAATTTCTTAGTTGTTTGATGCAAAGCTCTTTTTACTCTACTCTTTGTTTTTTTGTGTTTAAAATGAAAGAATCCTTCTAAATTTCCAATCTAAAACATACAAAATGTTTAACTACGTTTCCTTAACATAATATTATATATATTATATATTTGTTTTTTTGTGTTTAAAATGAAAGAATCCTTCTAAATTTCCAATCTAAAACATACAAAATGTTTAACTACATTTCCTTAACATAATATTATATATATTATATATTTGTTTTTTTGTGTTTAAAATGAAAGAATCCTTCTAAATTTCCAATCTAAAACATACAAAATGTTTAACTACGTTTCCTTAACATAATATTATATATATTAACACATCTTTATAAACTGTTTATTCACATTATGCTTGAGAAAGCTTTTAATAGCATGTTAATGAACAATTAGTTTATGTTAAATAACCTGAGTGCTTACAAAGTTGGCCATAGCTTACAATTAACTTTAGAAATATAGAAAGATATAAGATCAGGTAAACTTGTTTTGAAGATAAACAATGCTTTTTATAAAATTGCAAAAAATTAGTCATTTATAACAGACCACTATAAATATTAGAATTGTATTTTGGGAGTAGAGTATGTGGTAACAAAATGAAATGGATGTGGTGGTGATTGTTTAGCATACCTTAGTATCAAAAACTTTTTATTTTTGTAAATATTTTTATCTTTATTAAAACAAGTGGAAGTAGTTTATAAACTAAAACTATATTTTATTAAAGTCGTTTTACCTCTACCTTTATCCCCCTACTACCCTCATCCTCCTACTACCCTCATCCCCCTACTAAAAAAATTAAAAATTTTTTTTTAATTAATTTGTGATAAGTAAATCAGAAGCACTTCACTTTAAAGATTGGTACCAATCTTTGATATATATAGTTTTAGGTAACTGTCAAAATAGTGATGCCACCTCAAAATTTTTTGCCCCTTTTACAACTTAAAATAAATGCAGCATACATCACAGTCTGCAAATTCAAAGGATTTCAGGTTGGTATAAGAGTGTCGTACTTTGCCGACATCAGGTTAAGAGCATAACTATAGACAATAATAATTTTTAAAATGTTCTAATTAAATATTATGTAAGTATATTAATTTATGATTTAGTGATCTTTTAGTTTCAAAGTTGTTTTTTAACAAAAAAAAATTGTTAATATTATTAGTTTTTTTACTTAATTTCACTCAATCTTAAGATAGCTGTCGCATGCGTATGAGAAGTAAAGAAACACATGTGTTTAACATATGTGTTTTTTGCCCACGTGTGTTTACCATACCTGTTTCTTCCCCATGTGTGTTTAACATTCGTGTTTTTTCCCCACGTGTGTTTAACTATACCAAGACTAAACTTAATAGACTTTCTGATCTTAAATAATATTAAAAACCATAACAATGTACAATTACAGTTTTTTTAATATTATTTAAGGTCAAATATTTAAGATGTACAATTACAGTTTTTTTAATATTATTTAAGATGTCAAATATTTAAAATCAAATGTTATGTTTAAAGTTTTAACTAATAAAATAAATTATTAGATTTTAAAACTAAACAAAATAATAATTGAACTATAATTTCGAGTATAAAAGCGAGAAAACAAAAGACATTTAAAAAGTATTTTTATTAACTTTTAAATGAATAAATTATAAATAAATAAAATAACCTTACAATGCTTGAATAAATTTGACAAAAAATTAAAAAAAAATTGAAAAAAACAAAGAATGGTTTTTTTTTTTAATAAAACCTGTTGAGCTTGAAAAAAGTAATTACAATAAATAAGTTATGGACTTATAATGAACGAATATTACATATTTTTTACATGTATACTTTTGCATGCTGACACTTTATGAGATTTAGATGGCAACTGTATGTTGTTGTAAAGCAAAGAAAGGTCCGCTTTTGCATTGGCATTGCTAATTTAAAAATAATATTTCAGAAAACAGTCTAGTTTTTTTTATTGTATACAAAACTTAGACAATGAATTCTTGAACGTCACATTATTTCCATAATGGCTACCTAAAAAACCTAAAAATTGTTTGCAAATATAAAAAAGTGAAAAGACATTTTTTTTTAGTTTCTATATATGGTAGGCTTCCAAATTTTTAGAAATTTTCTGATAATATGCAATTCAGTAAAAAATTATAGACTTCTAAAAATGGCTACGACTAAAACTTAGGAAAATGTGCTTCCACTTCAAACCACCGGTAACCTAGAATCTACACTAGACTTAATAAAATAAATTTTCTTCTAATTTAATAAACTTTTTTGCAGTGATTTCAGAAAAAAAAAAAAGTGGTTTCTCATTAGGAAGGTACAAAATCAGAACAATGAATATTGCCCCAAATTGCATTAAAAACAATAAAAATAAATTTATTGTTGTACTTTAGTTTGTATTATATATTGTAATACAAAGTATGTATGAATTTTAAAATATTTCAATATCAGTACTAGAAATAAGTCTTTATTTAGGCCTGAATTAATCTCAGTTTTTAAATGCCCATAGCTCTTTCCTGCCCCCTCCTCTCTCCATTTACTTTTTAACATGCACATTTTTTCCCAGAACATAGAAAAAAATTGTAATTGAACACTTCTCCATACATGTCTGTGTGTCTGGTTTTATGTCTAATGTATAAAGTGCCTTTATGCCCAAACATACCACTAAACATACACATATAAAAACTGAAATTTAGTTTTTAATGTTTTTAAATAAAACTTATAAGTAGCCTATTAGGTAAAAATGAAAAGAAAATTAATTTACCTAATATTTAATAATATGACTATAAATTTTATAATATTTTTCCAATACATTTACTATTCCACCCCTTCCCATTAATTAGACTTATTTGATTATCATTTTTAAATTTAGATTTCAACTTATATACTAAGTTATAAAAATTATTTGACTTATCATCACATTGCACAAGTTGATTATGTTATAAAGAATATTATTATGTAATGATCAATCAATATAAACATTGAATCTTTTATATGAATTTTGCTAAAAAACTAGGTTTATATTAAATAAATCAAATTTAAAATAACTTTGCTATGTAGTTATTTAATTATATTGCTTATACTATTGTACAAGAAAGTAATTCAGTTTTTTCTTCAGCTGATACTTCATACCAATTACCAATTGTTGATTGAACTTTTAAAGATAAAATTTTGCATAAAATGTGTGTTATTGAAACCCAGCAAATATATGTGGTCAAGTAAAAGTGTTTAAGGAAATAGACTGTTTCATGAACTTTATAAGAACATCTTGATTTTCTTCAGATATTTCCACAATATTGCCTAAAAACCATTTTGCATCATAAACACATGTTATACTAATTCCTGGTGAAAGAGAAGCAACTGCAACTATATGCTGCATTTTAGGAACATTTACATTAGTATATATATATATATATATATATATATATATATATATATATATATATATATATATATATATATATATATATATATATATATATATATATATATTGTCAAATGACACCCGTCTGATCTGTAAACTAGATAATGATTGTGGTATAAAACATTGGTGGTTTCTTGTTCCTGTTATTGTTGATTAAGTAGCATAAAGTTCTTCTAATTTAAACTCTATGCAATGTAATGCAATTGCATCATTTGAAGTGTATTGAAAATTCATTCCTTTGATATTTTGTCTACACCAATCATACATTTTCTCAGATGAATTGATAGGATCTGTAAGTTATTGTAAGCTGGCCTTAGCTACAAGTTTTTTGACAGTGCCCCCAACGTCATTGCACATGCTCTTTCCATGTGATGTAGCAAAAAAATGCTATTCTATAGATACTTTAAAATCTAATTCATGGTGACAAGTTAGATATGCTTTTATAATTTTTTATTGTGAACCTGCCCCATTACTAATATAAATGCAATCGTTAAAGTAAGGAAAAAACTCTTTTGTTTTATCACTTCATAAATGAAACAAAAAACTGTATTTTGTTGCAATTGATCTGAAATGATACAAACACTTTTATATTTTATCATACTTTCTTCCATATAGTAAATAACAAAAGGGTGCAATGTTGCTAGAATGTTGTGCGAATGGAAACCTTATACTAAAAAACTGTAATTTTTAGCAAAGTCTAATAATACTAAAATATGATTACTTGGTAATGTTATTTTTAAATGCTGCAAATATGCTGCTTAATTTTTGGCCATATAATGAGTAGTCTCTTAATTGGTCTATTTGGTGACAAGCTTTTTCAATAAAATCATACACTGGAAGAGTTATTGGAACTATATCATGTTTTTTTTTTGGCTTTTTGCCACTGATTAAAGGTGATATCTTCCATGCTGTGTCTATCAAACAAAGCAGTAAGATAGTACTTAAACATGTTGGTATCTGGTTAGTTAGAGACTGTGCAGCATGCAGTCTCAATTTGTTAAGTCACATACAACTAATGCCAAGAGGTATTTATGGTATTTGTAATGCTTAAAGTTTTGCAAGTTGGTGGTACTCACAAACACATTCTCAATGGAGACCTGAAGCACCTCCAATAGAATACACAACTTTGGTTTAAGATTTTTAACAAAATTGATACAAAAGATTCAATTTTTATATTGATTGTTTATTACATAATAATATTCTTTATTACATAATCAACTTTTGCATTGTGATAACAAGTCCAATAACTCTTATAACTTAGTATATAATTTGTAATCTAAATTTGAAAATGATAATCAAATAAGTCTAATTAATGGGAAGGGGTGGAATAGTAAATGTATTAGAAAAATATTATAAAATTTATATTCATATTATTAAATATTAGGTAAATTAGACTGAAAGTCTTTCTTTTCATTTTTACCTAAAAGGCTACTTATAAGTTTTATATAAAAACATTAAAAACTAAATTCCAGTTTTTATATGTGTATGTTTAGTTGTATGTTTGGGCATAAAGGCACTTTATACATCAGACATAAAACCAGACACACAGACATGTATGGAGAAGTGTTCAATTACAATTTTTTTCTATGTTCTGGGAAAAAATGTGCATGTTAAAAAGTAAATGGACAGAGGAGGGGGCTGGAAAGAGCTATGGGCATTAAAAAACTGAGCTTAATTTAGGCTTAAATAAAGACTTATTTCTAGTACTGATAATGAAATATTTTTAAATTCATACATACTTTGTATTACAATATATAATAAAATTTAAATTACAACAATAAATTTATTTTTATTGTTTTTAATGCAATTTGGGGCAATATTCATTGTTCTGATTTTGTACCTTCCCAATGAGTAACCACTTTTTTTTTTTTCTGAAATCACGGTAAAAAATTTTATTAAATTTAAAAAAAATTTTTTTTATTAAAACTAGTGTTGATCTTAGGTGGTTTGAAGTGAAACCCCTTTTTTTTAAGTTTTAGTCGCAGCCACTTTTAGAAGTCTATAATTTTTTACTGAATTGTATCTTATCAAAAAACTTTCTAAAAATTTTGAAGCCTACCATTTATAGAAACTAAAAAAATGTCTTTTCACTTCTTAAACTGCAGGTTTTGTACATTGACTCATCAAAAATCAACTTTTTACATTTGCAAACAATTTAGGTTTTTTAGGTAGCCATTATGGAAATAATTGACATTCGAAAATTCAATATCAAAGTTTTGTTAAAGTAAGTCTAGAGTTAAATACAATAAAAAAAACTAGACAGTTTTCTGAAATTTTGTTTTTAAAATATAGAGCTTCAAAGTATGAACAAAACATTTTTTTGCTACTAAAGTTTTTATTTATGGAAATTCAGAAATTTCATGTCTCATATCACATGAACCATATCTCATGAACCACAAAGGATTTTGTGCTGAAATTTTCAGGAATTGCTTTTCTCATTAATAATAAGAAACGCACCAAGTTTCATCAAAATCTAAAGGGTCCATGTTGAAATCATAAAATTTTGGTCCATTTGGCATGAAATGACCCATTAACGATCACCCAGAAATTCTCACATCTGAGGTGGCATTGTTTGCTGAAGATACAACAATTTATTGCTGTCATGATAAGAAGCCAACACTCTCTGATTGCTTGGAGAGGACATTTGAGCTTGAAAAAAATCTTTCTTCTGCTACAGCATGGGGCTTTCAGTGGCTGGTGAATTTTAATTCAGAACTTAACTTTTCTGAGTTGATTGTTTTTGCAATAATTTAGATCTTCTTATATTTATAAATGGTAATGTACTCGAAGAGTCATCTAGTCTTCTCTTACTTCCAATATTTCTTCGTATATATCAAATCCATTGTAAAATTAACATCTGCTAAGATTGCATCTTTTTATCATGCTTGCCACTTTTTTACTCCGAATTCTTTTCTTTATCTCTATAAATATCTAATCCGTCTATGTATGGAATACTGTTGCCATATCTGGAACTCTTTCTCTTTTAGACAAGGTACAAAAATGCATTGTAAACATAGTTGGAACTGCTCTTGAAGCCTACCTCTAACCATTGTCACATTGTCATAATGTTGCTTCTCTTTCTCTTTTCTATAAATATTATAATAGGCTATGCTTTAATGATCTAGCATCTCTTGTGTCATTTACTAAAATTCATTCTGGTCTTACTCAGCATTCAATTAAGTCTCATCCTTTTACTGTGATTGTTCCTAAGTACTCCAAAAATTCTTTTTTGTCTAGCTTTTACTCTCGAACACCAGTTTTTTAGAATTCCTTCTCTTCATCTTGTTTTTCTAATTCATATAATTTTCAATCATTTAAGTCATCTGTTAATTATTACCATGCTTTATAAACTTCATCTTTTCTCTTTCAGTAACTTCCAACTTCAATATTGGTTGCTTACAGTCTCGTTTGAAGAGAAATGTTTTATTAATTTTTTAAACAATTTAAAATAGTTATTTTTTGTATGATTGTTTTTTTATAGGAAATTTAAAGACATTACTATCAATATCAATAGTTTTAGAAATATAACATATTAATGTTGCATGAGTAGAAGTTATGCAATAGTTGTTGCAAAAAGGTACAGGGAAAAGTAGTAGAACTACATTATAGTAAGATAGAGTTTGAATAAGAACAACATCAATCTTGTAATGAAAGTCTTGAATCTATAAGTGTTATGCAATAACATTAAATCACTGCCAAAATATCAATAATAACCAGCAGAAAATTACTGAGACAAATTACCGAAGCAGTAAAAAAACGAAATAACTAAATATAAACAAACCTGTTATTAATTCTATGACTGCATTTACACCATTTTGTACGCCACTAATTATTTTAATTAAAAAACAAGAGAAAGATCAGAAAAATACCAGATACCACTCTTAACCATGAGCCTACTTTTAGTACATCAAAATTATCATAAAGAGTTTTATTAATATTATTATTAAATAAATCTATTAGAGACCTCAAAAGACTTCAAAAACGACTTTTAATAACTTAATTTGATTTAGCTACTTTTTTATAATTAATCAAGTAATTAAGCAATAAATTTTATGGCAACTCATTTTATGCATATAGATAAGCTCTATATAAACTGTATTTCGAAATAACAAAAAGTGCAAAAAATTACATTATCTATTTCAAAATACCATTAAATATATACCTTTATTATTTAGTTTACCTGTTGTTATGGTGATTCGAATCCACCTTAAGATTGTCTGCCCGAGTAGGAATCAATATTAACGCGTAGGAATCAATATTAACACCAAGTAGGAATCAATATTAACAATATTAATTAAGTTTTTATAGTTTACAAAACTAAATTTTCTATATTTATAAACTAAACTGCGTACCAAACTAAATTCTATATTTTTTAGTTTACAAAACTAAACTATATTGCGCTAACATATATATTTACTATAGCTACTGGAGTGTGTACTAAATTTCAGGCTAATACCTTATTCAGTTAATTAAATAATACTATATTTAATTACAAAAATTATTTTGCAAGAAACGCTGAGCCGGCATAAGTCAGCAAAACCTGAGCATTTAAAAAACCGTATCCATCAAATCATCATCAATCAAATCACCATCAAATTATCATCTAATCATCATCGGATATCACTAAACATCCTCATTAACTCGTCACTATCTATATTGTGAAGTCTTGCATTTACATTCTCTTCTTTATGTCTCAGTAATAGTAATAGAGAATTATCTTTATATTGTCAATTCAAAACATTTTTAACTGCATAAAAATTATCAAAAATAATGTTTTCATCCGTTTTAATAATATTTGCGTATGTTTTGTTTTATAATAAATTAATTTGAACTACGGCTGCCCATTGCGTATAAAATGCTTTTAGATTTTTAGAGGTTATTAGCTTATAAACTTTTGCATAAAATAATTGTTTTGTTGGAAACAAATCTTCATATAATTATTCCTCTTTTTTCTTCTATTTTTCTTCTGTAGTGGTTTACACTTATCAAACCTCAAAAACGGTTTACTTGATAAAGCAGAAACTGCTTTATATGGCTAGTTCAAAAGTAAAGACTGTTTTGGAGAAAAAAGTAAAAAGTTTTGGTGAAACGTTTCAGAAATTACAAAGATTAAATCATACTGTTTAGTCTGCATTTAATTGCTTAGAATATCAAATTAACAGTAATAGTATTTTCACAACATTGCAATACCACTTCCTAAGTAATGTTCGAGATCCGTCTAGATGTAAAGCATAATTAGTTACATATTTACCAAACGATTTTATGCGTTTATGTTTCAATTTTGGAACTTAAATACATTCACCGTTGTTGACTCTTTGTTTCTCTATTTGTTGGTCTAAGGTTTGATGCCGGCAGCATCAAACAAATCGAACCCCATACTTGAATGCAGTTTTTGTGATGGAGGCATTTTTTTAAGACAATTTACTTGTTGAGATTTGAACAAGAATGATTTTTTTGATTTTTTTAATGTCCATTTTATAAACCAACATTAAATGTAAAACATTTTTACTTGATAGTGTTCAAATTACTTTTAATACGTAAAAATAGTAAAAATTTTAATTTTAGTTACTGCGAGCTATTGCGTTCGTAAATCAAAGAAAGAAAAAAAAAAATTTTTCACTTTTTACCCATAAAAAAATAGACCGGAAAAAACTTAGCAAATGTTTGGGCTTATAGCATCTAACTATATTTTTATAAATCTCACAAAAAAAAAAAACAATTCTGTCTATATTTAGACTGAACACAATGATTGCAATATTTTTAAAAGTAATAATGTCAAACCACTTTTCTCTTTTAGCTCTCTAGCTCTTTTCAAACAAGTTTAGCAACTGTATTTTATTTAAATTTTATCTCTTTTGATAATTTCAAACTTTTCTGAAAAGAAGCTCTTAAGAAACTTTTAGTACCAGCATATTTGCTTGGAATTTTATTTAAAAAAAAACCGTGTAACTTTAGAAATATTGTTTAAAACCTTGCATAGATCTATGTTTTTTCAAAAAAAAATGTCACTTTTTTATTTAACAAAATACTTCTGGAAGAAACAAACATAATATGAGAAGCAAACTATTGAGATGTATTTTTTATTAAAAGTAATAAATACAAATATATAACATACATAATGTTATAAAAATTTTTTTGACTACAATTGCGAATAATAAGTTTTCTATATTTGGTTTAAATATTTGCTTGTTTTTTGATCCATATTATCATATATCTAATTTTAAAAGATCTTAAAATTTTTTTTTTAAACTATCTTTTTAAAAACAAAAACTTTTTTACCTGTCCTAAGTTTTCAAAACCATGGTTATTGGCGATTCTATCTGCTTGGGCAACTTCGGCTGGATTGAGCTGAACAGCCCATGAGTTTGTATATAACAATTTTCCTTCTTTGCTTTGCAGAGCGTCTTCTAACTTTCCTAAATAAACTTTGTCATTTTTTGTAAGCTGACGAGCGTTAAAATTTGGGGTTTTAGTAAAGCGTCCATCTTTATACTCGTGAGAGACTTTAATGACATCTTCACGATGTACTTTTTTTTTTGATTTATGATGTTTATTATTTGCAATAGTAATATCTAATATTAGTAGCAAGATACATAACAAAAAAGTCAATCTGTTGAACATGCTGCTGCAGCCGGTTTTACTTATTGTTCTATTCTTTCTAACTTAGCATAGTAAACGTATGATCAAACAATTAAAAAAGTATCTCGCAATTAATAAATTTACATAAATAAATATTTATACACTATTTTGCATTAAAATATATATATTTGTTTTAAATTGCAATCATTTATTGCATATAAGTTGCTCTTTTTAAAATGAAGTGAAGCGAAATGAAACGTTGTTGTTTAACAGGTGTTTTGTTCGCAGGAGAGCATTGATGCGTGCAGATTTACCCATACATTTATAGCTGGCAAAAAACTTGCAGTGATTTACAATTTACAAAATATTTTCAAACTTGTTTTTTGAACAAGTCTTGGTTACTTACTTTTTGATTTGAATTCAGATTAGAAATTGTTCAAACTTTACATTAGTTGAACATTTTTTGCTTAAAATAGTAATAAAAAGAATATTAGAGCAAATAAAGCAATTATATAAACCAATATAAAAGAATTTGAAACAACTCTCTCTCTCTCTCTCTCTCTCTCTCTCTCTCTATATATATATATATATATATATATATATATATATATATATATATATATATATATATATATATATATATATATATATATATATATATATATATATATATATATATATATATATATATATATATATATATATATATATATATATATAATAAACTAATATAAACTTATCATAAATATTATCATAATACAGTAATTTAAAATGACATAACTATTTAACTTTGCACAGTTAACACACATACATTGGTTTTACATACATTGGGCAACGTATGTTAAACCATTGCAAACGTTGGCTTTTTTTCTGATGCAAATCAAATCTTGATTCAATTTTTTTTTTTTTTTATTTATTTATTTTTTCTTCTCCAGGTATACCATATAAAATATACATTTATTATCGTGATAAAAAGAAAAAATATTTATAAAATTATTACGTATCAGATTGATAAAAATACATTAATATAACTTTGATACATTAAGAATATATTAATATATATTGATGCAAACTTAATACAAATTCTGGTATAATAACTATTATACATATGTTTATTTTTTTCTTTACTTTAATACCTAAAAAAAGAAAATCAAAGAAGATTCAGCATTTTTGGGTATAAAACTCCAAAAAAAATCTTTTCGCAGATTCCCTTAATAGCGCCGTTTGGCATATATCTATGTCTATATAGAAAGTTAATTAAGTAAAATTAGAAATAATTTTTTGTAATTAGCATTGTAATTACAATGCTAATTACAAAAAATTATTTCTAATTTTAGTACATAATAACATATATATATATATATGTATGTATATATGCATTTTATTTTTTTTTTTTTTCATTATTATTATAAATTTTTTTTATTTTTTTTTTAATTTTTTTTTTTTTTTTACAAACTAAGAATATGGAGCTTTGCTTGCCGTTTAAACGACGATATTCCCTTTAAGTCTTTTAATTTTTGATTTTTCAAGTTTTTCCATATTTAAGGACCCTGTGACATAATTGAAAATTCAGAACCCCGGGTTTTAGTTTTTTTAATATAATAGTTATGGAAGCTCTTTGATCGTAGATGATAACTTTGAGAAAATGATGACGAGAATATGTCTAAAAAAGAATTTGGTAGCATATTATTTTTATATTTGAACAATAATAAATAATAAAAATAAGAATCTGATTTAAATTAAGTTTCTCCAAGTTTAAGACTTTATATTTGTCATCGCATTGGAAGGATTGTCCATTCTACCTAGATAATGAATTGCTTTACAAGCATGGTTTTGCAAGCCTTGTAGTTTGATTAATTTTGTTTTGTGTGTATTAGCCCAATTTTATGTATTTAACAATGATATCAATGAGACGATTAATACCGATGCAACATATAACATCCTGCGCAGTTTTTACAAATGTAATCTAGAGATCTTCAGCACTTTAGAAATGAAATATTTTTTCCCAACTATGATTTTAAAGCTCAGTATACCAATTTTACTACAAAAACGGAAATGTTTTGCATTTCAATTATTTATCAAAATGAAACAACTATATATAAACTTTATTTTGAAGATTTTAATAATGATAATAAGATGATGAATTATAATTTTTTTTATACTTGCATTTTGGCAAATTGCTTTTTAATAAAATCCCTTAATATGTGATGCATGCTTGAAAAGATAATAGCTTGACAATTGCTTATTTTTTGTGGTGTGAATAAGACAACTCATCCAGAACAATATGTTTTTAGAGAGAAATTGAGTTGCAAGTATGCTCTTATAAATATTGTGGAAGTTTGGATGCGTAGCGTTGATCAGGGTAAATTTGCGGTGCTATTATGATTGACCTGTCTAAGGCATTTGACTCTGTTGCACACCAACTTCTTATTAACGAACTATTTAAAATAGGCTGTAGCTTGAGCACAATATCCTGGTTCGATAGCTGTTTATTCAATAGGGAGCAGAAAGTCATTCAGGCCAACCAAGTAACCCAATCAAAGCCAGTGTCATGTGGACTTCCTTAACTTAGTCCTAAACTTTTAAATATTTACATAAGAGATCTTCCATCTTGCTCTAATTCTCATACAACTCAGTTTGCTGACGTTTCCCACTCTGAGGAAGATATGGACTCGTATGCACTAACAATAAAATTGGTATATATAATCTATAAAATCAAACACTTCTGTATGTCTAATGGCCTCACGATAAAATCGTTAAATACACAGTTTATAATATTTAAGAACCCTAGAAAGAAACTGCCGGATAATTTACATGGTTGTATATTCAAGTGCTATATGAATGAAACAAACAAAAAACTATATATAAATATAAATTAAAACAATTATATTACATTATATACATATGCCTAATACAAACATGAGATAAAATAACGAAATTAAAAACTAAATTTTAAAAATATGAACATACACACTACACATACAGTTTCTAATACGTGTAAAAGTGGAATATTGGTATATGATAACAAATATAAACAATTAAATTTAATTATGTTGAAATAATGCATAGGATCTTTTGCCAGATAATAATGCCATGACTACATGATAAGGATTTTTTTTTTTGTAATTATTTATTATCCTTATTTATTTTAAATAATGACTCATTTTGACTTATATTTTTTTGAACATTTTTATCAACAATCATAAAGTCAATTGTAAAAAAAATTTGACCACATAGATTTTGCATATTACTATTGGCCAATCATTTTTTTACATATTAGATGTTTAAAGCATATAACTCATTTTCAATCTCTACTTGGTCAGATAAGACAGTTGCAATGCTTAGTTGAATAGTTTTATTAACTTCTTTTAGGGTCACAATATCATCGTTCAATTTATCTGTCTGTGATGCTAAAAAAAAAAAAAGAAACAATTATTAACGAATTCCAAAATAAAAAATACAAAAAAAACAAAAACAAAATAAAAAACCAAAAAAAAACAGAAAAATAAGATTAGATTTAAACTAACTTTTAAAAGTTCTTACTCCTGTGCTTTAATAAATTAAAAATAAAAGTTAATAAAAGTAGTTTTATGCACATTCAAAGGTGGATTTTGTCTCTCGCCAAGGAGGGAGCTAAAAGGTCTATAAAAAAAAAGTTCGCATATTTTCATTAATAAGTAACTTTCTTTTTAAATTTTTTTACTTTTGTATAATAACCAAGTTCATATACATATAATAACATATAATAGTCAATTTTATTCATCAGTATAGTGGTCTAATTCTGTATAATAGTCAATTTACAAAAAAAATATTTCTGAAAAAAAGTCTTAAGAATGGGGGAGGGGGGCCTCTTTGCCCATACCCTCCTCCCTAAAACCCATCACTAAGCACATTTGAAAAAATTGTGAAAAAATAAATAATAGTAATAAACTATCATCATCAACACACAATTACAGGGCTTGAATTAAGCGTATTGCGCGGAGATTTTCATTTGAATTTAAATTACTTTAAATCTCTGCGTGAAAGCCAATAATATTTAAAAAGTCCTTAAAGCAAAAAATTGAATTAATTAAACGGATAAAGGAACTCAATTGTTATGACTTGTTAAGAACGAAGTTTCTTTCGAGATACTTTGCTCAGCTATCCTTTTTTTAAGAGGTTCAAGAACACCGTGTACTAGAAAAAATGATTTTGAAATCAGTGTTGATTTTAAGAGGGATGGAGCCATCCATAAAGGGCGTCACCATTTTTTAGCCAATTTTTGACCCCCTCCTCCTCCTTTGTCACCAGTCGTCCTTTTCCCCTATACTCCCCTTGAAAAGGACGTCATAAAATCCTGAACCCCCCCCCCCCTATTTTTAACTCCAAAAAATTTTTTTTCATCTCGCAATGATGTTTGAATCTGCTGCTACACCTTTGAAAAATAAAATTAAAAATATTCTCATACATTATCTTCTTAAAAACACATGTTTACGTAGTTTTACATGTTAATTAAACTAAAATAAAAAATCTATAAAGTGACGTCCTTTTCTGACAACCTCCCCCCTCCCCTTGTCCTTTTTTGTCCTTTTTAACTCGACCCCCTCCCCCCCTATTTGGATGACGTCCTTTATGGATGGCCCCGATGCTCTAGAAGCAAGAATCTGAGTTTTTATAAATTTGTATTATAGTATTTTGTTTTACATGTAACTAATATTTAGGAATAGGTTTTATAAAATTAATTAAAGGGAAAAGACTTCATTCTTTTTGTTTTTTAACAAAACAGCCTGTTTTTTATCTTTGTTTTTCTAAACGTTGGATCAAGTTAACGTATTATTAATGATTTAAATTATTATTTTATCAACAATTTTATATTATTAATTTTACTACTTTTAGTATATTAAAATATATATAAATTTGTTTTTATTAATTTTTTTTTCTAATAGTTAAAAAATGCTAATAGAAACCAGCAAATTTTTCGCCTTAACGTTTTTAAGGTAGATCATGGAATCAAAAACATATTCTGACGTCTGAAGTTTTGTGTAAATTGATGACCGGAATATAACAAAATAAGTGTTTGCATTGATTTTAAACACTTTTTAACTAAAACTATTTTTTTAACTTATTGTCTGCCTAAACCGAAACCCTAAGTCAGTGTATGTACACACTCTGCATGTTTTACCTGTTTACTCACTTAATGATAATTACTAGCCACAAGACTAC